TTAACAACTTTGACAATTCTGACAAAAAAAACTTTTGAAATTCAGAATATTATAAACTCATCACAACTCACAATGGTCTTAATAACAAGATGACCAAAACTAACAATCTCGTATTGTATTTATGAATTTTTACAAAAATCTTCCTCCATAGCCTGCGTTTTTTAACAACGCTTTCTTTATATCTTCCGAAGTAATGAAATCTCTCAGCTCAGCAACCTATATAACGTATAACATATATCAATTATACAATATTAGAAAATGTGTTTTAAAATAAACATTTCTAAGGTGACCAAAAATAAATAAACATTTGTAAATGTTGGCAAGTAAAGCTTAAATAAAAGTGTTACAATAATATTTGTACCTCGGAACAAGAAGCCTGAAGTGAGAAGTCACTGAAACAGCTAATGACACATTGCTGAATCTCCAAGCCTAGTGTCTCCAGTGTACCAACCGTTGATAGAACCAAGCCCGGTTTCGCAGAACAGCATATGTCAATATGCGTATTAACTTCCCTTTGATCCACTTCAAACTGCAAAACCCCCATTCTTGTTAAACCAAAAAAGATATATATATAATCAAAACTCATGTGTTTTCAATTTCAATGGATTTTAATATGTAAGTGATCTATAACGATAGGGGTGTTTTTGTAACAAATGATTTATAAGTGGATGAGTTTGTGAAACACGAAAACTTATTGAGTAGAGAAATGGAAATATATAAAAAAAATGTTTTGTTTTTTACCTTTGGGGAGTTTCTGACCATTGATTCGTTTGTAATGAAGTTGTTGCGATGAGAGTTGGTTCCAAGTTCATGCAACTTGTTGATCTTGTCCAAAAGCTCCTTCATGTAATCTATTGCATCTCCTAGTATCGATGTCCTATCCATCTGATGTTATTAATATAATGAAATCATTCATTATTTTTATATACTTCATTTCTATCGATTTTGAGTAATAATAATCAGAAAAACATACAGTATACCAAATAGTAAAAGCGCTTATGAATGAACACTGTTGAAAAAGGTTCGAACAAGAAGAAAACATACATGTAACGTTAAGAACTCGAAAAAAGAAATAATATTTAGTGTTTGATTAAAAAGTGAAAAACCATAAATAATTGAGAAAAGAACAAAATTTTTACGAAAATATTTTGAAAATTTAAGTGAAAACAACAAAATGTAAGGAGGGTTTATGGAAATTTGCCTTGGTGATTTTGGGGACAATAGATCGGAGCATGGAGAGTCTGTCATTTAACCGTTTCCTCCGTCGTCTCTCCGCCATGAGATTCTTTGAAGGCTGACCTTCAAGCTTCTTGTAGTTACTCTTCTTCTTGTTAGTCTTTCCATTAATGCTCATGAAGCTCTTGGTTTCCTCCATCAATATTGATGGTGAACAACTGTTCTCTTGTGAAGTTGGAAGGATCAATGGAGGAGAATAAGAAGAATCAATGACATCTTGCAACGTCTCGAGAGAAGAATAGTGGAAAGCGGAGGAGAACGGCGGAGGAGAAGGCGGCGGTTGTGGTGGTTGGTGAAGCAATGGAGGTGGTTGAGAGATTAGATCCATCAAGGAAGAATAAGAAGAAGTGTGATGATGATCAATGTTGTTGTCTTCTTGGAGAGGATTGTCGAAACAAAGGTAATCGAAGTTCCATGCACTTGGGGCGAATTGGTCCATGGAGATGAAGCCGCCATTAATGGTGTCGAGATTGTTGCTTTCTTGCTTTCTCAATTGGGTCAATTCCATTTCCATCTCTCTCTCCCTCTCTGGTCTTTGTTAAAGTGGAAGAGAACAGAGTTTGTGTCAAAGAGGATGAAGTGTTATATAATGAGGGAATTAATGGACTAGCTTGGTGTGAAGTATAGTTAGAAAATCATCTTTAATTTAAGGGTCAGTTAGTTAAATGACCAAAAATATTTGGTAAACGAGTTGAAGGTAAAACTGTAATTAAACAGTATACACTCTTTTTTTTTTTTATAGCTCTACGGGTTCTAAACCGAGGTGTATGTCCGAGATCCTAATATTATATGATTTTATATAATGTGGTCTCTTCTCAAATGTCACAAGATTATTTGATTTTTGAATTTCGTCCATATTCACAATAATTGTTTTCGCATTTTGGTTAATATGACCAAAACTCTGTATGTTTTCAAAACTCAAATGTTTCACCGAACATGTATTTTGAATATAACATTTTATAGTTATTTACGTAATTTAACAAAATTTCATGATTAGTTAGTATTGATATCCTGTTATTATATACAGTCTCCTA